TACTATTTTATTGGATACCTAATCTCTAACCAATTAACGCTGATAAAAATTTAAACAATTAATCTCTGATTATTTCTAGCGAAATGATACTATGAACTTCTACCATCTTTCGATTGTTCAGCTACAAATAGCAATGTATAACGCGATATGAACATCAAATCGCAAGAGATTGTATAAAATCTAACAATAGAATTTCATCGACTCGACCGATCTTCAGGATATCGTCGCGTCAAGCAACGATTTCGCTTGACGTTGATGCAACGATTCTGAGCGATTGGAGGTTAAACTTGGTTTCGAGACTCGCGCGTTGCGAGAAAACCAAGAAGGACTAATCGTTTCTAAGAACCCGTGGCCTAAATCTGCTCGCGTTAGATCGACTTTCGAGCCTATATGTAAACCACGAAATCCTCGTGAACTTGAAGAAACAACAAGTCCGAATGAACGCTAACGACTCGTAAAATATGATTTAGAAACTAACGTTTCCTTAACAGCTTAACACCTCGAGTCACACTCGTGGCGGCGCTTGACGATGATTCGAATTATTGTACAAGGAACACGAGCTGCCCTCGTGATACAGTTTTAAATTCCAGAAAACGAGTGCCAAGGAGCGTAATATGACCAACTCTGATCTCTACGAATGTAGAATTAGCTGGATTAGCTTCGACGAATAAATAATAAATGTTCACAATACCGATTTCCTTAATTCGATGTCGAAGTCAATCCCTAAATATAATCGACCTTCCTTTCATCTTTAGTGTAACATTTACTAGGGATTGACGATCGAGCATTTTTTAATCTTTAACAATTTTCGAAAAATATAAACAAAAAGCGTAGAAATTTTTGGCATAAATTCGATACATCAAAAACAAGTGGCTGCTATTTTCATAATTTTTTTCACAAAAATGAAAATGTTGGATCGTCGATCCCTTGAGAATATTGTTTATCTTTGAACTTTTCTTGCCTTTTTGTTGCAACTAATCCTGTTTGGCTGGAATCATGCACACCGATAGGCAATGTAAAAAAAAAAGTTATATAAAAGGATGCCGTTAAAAAGCTAAATAAGAGCTCTCTTTTCCTCTTTTTTTAAAGTTTTTTTGCTTTTTATAGTTCATAATGCGTTAAAATGAACCACAAAATCTCACGTCAATCAAATATGTAGTTTTTTTTTTTACTAGCCCTCCAAAGTATACGTAATTTTTAGACCCGTCATACTGTCTTGTCCCCTTAATTCGACGTCGAAGTCAATCGTCACTAAATATAATCGATCTTCCCCTTCCGTGTCGCTCCGTCGAATCAACAAACAACAAACCGTTAAACATCCTACGCCACTAAGAAATAAGAAAAGAGAGGAAAGGAGAAACTCCTAAAAGAGCAATAACTAGCGTTTAAATAGAACCAGGTGCGGACAGATCGTGTGTCCCCAAGAGTTCTTCCGTCCGAGAACTCCCCTTCAAAAGGCTTAAAACGGAATGTTTAATGTCGTCGAGATTCAGCCGTACGATAATTACCAAAATTCTTTAAATTATTAAACGCGGATCGTTTGTGAACGTTCGCGGACAGAGGACAGTTTCGTGAAACACGGCGAGCCACGTTTGGACGAGCACGAACGCGACGTGGGCCGCGATTCCGCATACAGAATTAATCGTTGGAAACGACGTATTAATGTTTCAGAAAGACGTAACAACGGCGATGGGTGTACTCGGAAATTTCCGGCATTGTTGAGCCTGTGCACATTCGGATGAAACTTTTACGAGGCACGTGCGCGAAATTGCAGCCAACTCGAACAGACAGCAGAGCAATACGCGGTGTAATAAGTAGAAGAGGACAGCGGGAGGAGGACAACGCCACGAAGTAGATGCGGTCGCGATGCATCGATTCGAACGAACGGTATACGGGTACGGTTTCTGGCCCGTTCGTCTATAATTCAGCGTCGCGGCGCGAACAATTCTTTGGGACACGGAAACCTATACGACATTTCTGGTAACGAGAATAATATGATGATAACTCGAACGGCGAAAGGAGCCCGTTGTGCGTTGGAGAGACAACTCCTTGCGTTTGCTCATGCTGCCTCAAATTTGCAATTGTATCGAGCCAGATGATAGGATTTTGTACGAAATTTCTTTGAATATTTCTTTGAATATTAATTAATAATTTCGAGCGAATTTAATTTTAACTAATATGTTGTTCTGTGTAAAATTTGCAATTGTGTCAAGGCAGATGAAAGGATTTTGTACGAAATTTCTTTGAATATTTGATTAATTAATAATTTCGAGTGAATTTAATTTTAACTAATATGTTCTTCTGGGTAAAATTTGCAACTGTGTCAAGGCAGATGATAGGATTTTGTACGAAATTTCTTTGAATATTTGATTAATTAATAATTTCGAATTTAATTTTAACTAATATGTTGTTCTGTGTAAAATTTGCAATTGTGTCAAGGCAGATGAAAGGATTTTGTACGAAATTTCTTTGAATATTTGATTAATTAATAATTTCGA